CTTTTCCTTGCGCCTTGCCCTGCTGGTGCGGCCCGTGGGAGTGAGCCACACCTACGCCTTTTCTGTTTTCTCAGTTTCTCAAGCGGACCTACTTCTGAACAGTATTGGTTCTCAACTTCAAAAATGACTTTTCCTTGCTTCTTGTTGCTAAATTGTTGTAGCATTTTGTTTCGAGGACGTAGTGTTCAGAAGTAGGTCCGCTTGAGAAACTGAGAAAACAGAAAAGGCGTAGGTGTGGCTCACTCTTACGGGCCGCACCAGCGGGCAAGGCGCAACGGTTGACGGTCTCCACCCACACTATTGACGTGGACTGCTCCCTTGACATGATAATTTTCACACGTATTGTAACACACGTTGCTACAGTTGATGGATCAGTCCCCTTTGAAGGATTGGTTACGTCTCTTCAAACATTTGAGCTTGCACCGTTTTCGCAGGCACACTTCACCGCCTACCCCGCCCATTTCCTATGTCACGCCTCCAGCGGTGCGATTAACGCTACTAAACTACCATCCATTGGCATTAACATGAACCAACATTTAGACTAGAAAATGCGTTCAGTTTTATTCATAAGCGCACCACTGTGCCTTCTGTATTGGTGCGCCAGCCATTTTCAAGAAGGTGGAGGGGAGGAAGGCACCGATGAGAAACGATATTTGTGGGCCCGACTTCGCCCATTTGATCTAAGAGGAATGTGCCTCCTGAATGGAATGCGATTCGCTAGCTGCTTTCCATAATGATTGCCGAACACTTTCCTAGATAGTTTTGACTGATATTTCAAGTGACTGCTTGAAAAGCTGCTGTCTAACAATTCCGAAAATCCTGCAAAACCACTAATTTTATTATGATTGAAGGTTTTGTAGGTTATTACGACTATGTTGCAATTATACGGTCGTAATTTCATTTGAGATTCTGCTTTATCTTTTGCTTTCCTGGGAAGTTCACCTCGTAATTTTCAGGTCGGGTTTGGTGATTTAATGCCACGTCGTGACGAGTATATGTATATCATTTTGTTATATATTATTTTAGGTGAGTTACCTTCTTCTTGAAGATTTCAGTTTTCAAGTATTCTCAAGATAAGGGTGATTTGACTGGCTCTGAACATCTTCTAACAGCTCACTAGCTACCTGGCTCTCATGTCAGTTTACTTGGGAGGGTTACATATTCAGTAGTGAGTACTAGTACTGCTTATAAGTAGTGCTTTAACATTCCCCCACTTCTTAACCCTTTGAGTTAGTTTTCATCATTTGAAGAATGATCTCCATTTGAAGACAAATTCTGCGATGAGCGAGTGAGCGGCAAAAGAGGCGTGGATACACAACCTCTGTGCTTCTCTCATTGGTGCGCTTTTTCTCTTCATAATATGGAGAAAGTGCCAATGAGGAAGGTGCAGCGATTGTGATTTTCCGGCTATTCCTCCGCCCTCCGATTATTGCAACTTGACGCGATTCTCCAACATTTGGCTTCCAGTATTCACCCTTATAAGTAACATTTGAGGACTTGCTATTACGACCATGTGTATCGATTTGGTTGGCGTTCAATATATCCGAAAAATTCACTATTTCGGACGAAAAATACAAGACGCTCGGTCAGCGCTGGCCGTTGTTGGTGGAAAGGTACGCTTTTTCAAGGACATAACGACAATGTTCGGCTTGGGAGGGGCATTTTGCACTTGCCCATAAGCTGTTGGCTCTTGTAGCTGTGAACGAAGCTCCTTCTCTTGCATAGCCTCGCAGGGATTGACTGGTATCCACAGTAGGCATCGGCACTGATCGACGGGAACCAGCAAATTGCCCCCACCAAGCCGAACTGTGCCGACCTTACTGTTATATCTGACCATTATTGAGTCTTTTTTAAAATTTAATTTTTGTTTTTAGGTTGTTTTGGTGTCCGAACTGTATGCGAATTTGATGCAGAAACGTGCACGAAATCTTTCAAAAGAGGCTTTTATCATAGAAAATTTGTATATATCCAAGCATATTATCCCTTATATTCCAAGCGATATTCGCTTGATAAGGTAAGCACAGATACAGTAAGACCGAGTACCGTAATTTACCGTAACCTAGAGAGATTTTGACCGATCGGTACAAAGTCACAGTCACTTGTTAGTCCTACGTCTCAGCATTATTTGAAATTGATGCTCCGAAAAAATAACGTGGTATTTGGATCTATATTTCATTATTTGACGAGGCGGTAGTGTAGTGGCATGGACGCTTACCACGCACACGGTCCATGGATCAAATCCTGGATCGGTTCTTGTCCAGGTCCGGCAAGTCATGTGCTAGATCCACATCGCATCTACTAAGCCACTACGATCCTGAATGGGGATGGAATGCGTTCCACATCCGCGAATGGGACTGATCAGCGGCGAAGACTTCATCCTTTATTTTTATCTCATCATTTGCAATGAAGTGGGGGGGGGGGAGAAGGAGCGTTAACACGTGACGACGGAGCCCGTTTTTCATAGGATTGCCCCGTGGGAATGGCAATTTTTTCGGTAGAAAACTTGTAAGTTCGGACAGATTGAACGGTTCACGGTCGAAGTCATTCATGAAATGCAAACCGGTTGACAATACATCTCGACTTTTCGACACATTAGCTTTTTTGCTCCAAGTCCTTCAGAAATCCAGTCCAGTTTTTTACCAAGTTTTTCCTCTGGGAGGCAACTTTCTGACTGGGAATTGCTCCTGGGGTAGTTTGACACTAAAGCACGAATATTACATCCCGTTGGCCCAAAATTGCTTGACGAGCGCAATAGGCGCTACGTTGACGAAAGTTTTTCGCCATTTCTTTCATGACTTGTGCCCCTAACTGTTTGGCGCCAGGAGGTTTTGTGGCAAATGGTTGTGAAATTCGTGTTCACGGCGTCCAACTACCGCCAGGAGTTTATCAACATTGGTGATTTACCGGTATTTCAGCGCCGCGCGCCCTGTGGCGGCGAGCTCCAGGTTGTTCGTGGCCAACGACTGTGGTAATTCATCTTTCAGCAGGTAAAGCTACTCCCCAGGGACACGTTTACGACGGAACTTACTGCTCGTTCAACTTATCTTAGAAAAATATTGTGGCAGGACACCCATTGTCTGCCATCGTCCCCATGAGACAACGACTGGCTGCTCAGCCCACCACACGTCGCAACTCTGTTGAGCGCTCTGCTTAGGATTCCATGCTCTGAACTTCCGTTTCGAAATCATGGAGATTTTTCGAGCCTTGAGCCCAAAAAAATGAATAAATTTGCTTCAATATTTCGCACCGCTTCCCCGTCCCCCACAGGCGCGGTATGAACCACGCACTTTCAGAGAGATTTTGAGCCTCATTCCGCGCTGATGACATGGGCGGAGAAGAAGAACCACCCCAAGTGGTGCGCACGTCCTCACTACTGCCTTACGAAGACATTGGAGAGAATGGGTGTACTAGTGGGCTGGTTCTGTGCCAGCTAGAAAGGAACAATAGTTCTTGTCTCCGCCCCTCCGATTATCGTGGAGTCTACCTTTAAGATTGAATCCATTTGACTAGGAGTTGATCCTCACGAGCAGCAAAGCTAAAATCTCTTTAGTTGCTAACTTTGCCATAAGAAAATATTATTATGGAGCACTTTCAGGTATATTGACCAACAAGCCGAAGGGTCATTATCAACGTCATCCTCGTCTCTCGATTTGCACAGCTGTCGATTCTGCCATTCGCGATTCAGCTTCAATCGGCAAAACCGACCTTCCGCAGACCATCAATAGCAATGCTGATTAAGAATCTCATTTCTATGACGGAACCCGCACAGTTGCTGTTGCAAACATGGAGGCGGCAGCGAGGAAGGGGGGATTACCGCAATACATGTAACGTCGGCGTGCGGTTGCGAAACGTCAGCTAGGCTGCGCCGACGTCCGTTTATGGTTTACTGCAGTTATGCTTGTTTTCACAGCCCAAACTATTTCACCAACCTGTACAGTGTGCCCCTCTTTCACGTTGGAATCGGGGTAAGTTAGGTTTCTTTGGATGTGTACGACTGTGTAGCTGTCACGCAAGGGGGGGGGGTGGGGGGCATAGCTATTGTCTTCTTTCCGGTTCATCGTGGGGCGGGGACTCATCCCTT